CCCAAATCTTAAAAAACTGTAATAAACTTATTGCGAAAAATATTGCCTCGGCCGGGAGTCGAACCCGGATCTCTTGCATTCCGTGCGAGCGTCCTGAGCCTTTAGACTACCGAGACATTAATTCTGAAATATTAATTCAATTTAATTGAATGTATATTGGATTGTAGTTCAACATCTTAACACTAGTACCGGGAAGGTGCTAGGTATTTAAAGTGTGGCTGTATGCTCCTTTTCATTTAACCTTTATTATTTAATTGTTGTGTTTATAAAAATTGCAATTGATTATAACAATGCTTATTAATATTTTTTATAAGAAATTGTATAAGGTCTAAAGATAGTAATTATAAATAATTGATACTATTTGGAAATAATAAGTAACAAACTCGATAAGACAACATCATCAATGTGTTTTATTGTTCCATTTACTATTACATAGATGTATATGTTATATGTACACGGAGTGTTCCAGAATGACCGCCAAATATTTTGTGCAGGTATAGCGGACTAATCTGAGTTGGAAAGTCCTCTACCATTTTACAATTTTCATCGTTAACAAGATATTAATTACTAAATATCATCAAATATTAATTTTCAGTGACTTTTCATTCAAATACTATCAACTTTATAGCAAGAAACAAAAATTGTTTATTTTTTCCTTATAGAATTCTAAAAACTTTTTTAGAATTTTTCATCAACTTTTTAGTACTGCATTTTTTATTGACAATTATTTTTACAAACATGAGAAAAAGCTGCACTAAAAAACTCATGAAAATAAACAATTTTTGTCTCTTGCTGTTTTTCTATAAAATTAATAGTACTTGAGTAAAAAATTATCGAAGCTAATATTTGGCGATTTTTAGTAATTAATATCTTTTTAACTATTGTGAAAATAGTAGAAGACTTTTCGACTTCGTTTAGTACATTCTACCTGCGTATGAAAAATTTAGCGATCATTTTGAGACATCCTGTAATGCTTATTATTATGCCGTAGTAAATAATTGCATAGATATTACATGTACTTGCTAAAATTAGAAAGTTTTTATTTCAATAAATACTACACGTAATTTTTCTATAAGTTTAGAAATTGTATAAATTATGGTATTTAATTATGTATAATAGTAATTTATTGCAACACAGAACTAACATGAAACTATTACAGATATGCCAAAACGGTAAACGTTATATTTAATCAGGTACTGTTCGTTCAATTTTTCGGTAGTATATTGATATTATGTACATGTATATATTACCTATCAACGCATATTACGGAACTGTCTGGAATTGGAACTTTATTAGTATATATCATTTGCATGTTTGTACAAATTTACATTTACTGCTGGTCCGGAAATGAAGTTATGCTTAAGGTAACTTGCTCTATTACAGCCTTCATCAGATATATTGTACGTACCTTACTAAAAATGATAGAAAACAGCGAGTATATTTTCCTACAACTCAATACGAGTGAGATAATTTAACTTTCTTAGTAAATAAGGGATTACTTTATATACGAAAAGACAAATATTCATTTATATGTGTGTTTATCAGTCTTGTATTATTTGACATGTACATACATAATACAAAACTAATAATTGATAAGGTTATACGGTATTATTATATAGTAATAATATTATATATGTTATGTTGGCAGAGTATAAGCATAGGAGAGGCTATATATTGTATGAATTGGCCACTATTATCAATTACCGAAAAAAAAGAATTGCTAATGATTATGATACGTAGCACAATTCCTATTAAATTCACTAGCAGCTTCATGATAACTTTATCTCTTCAATCTTACAGCAACGTTAGTAATATTATTACTTAGATCTTAAATGACTAGACAAATATTACATATATTACATAATGTTTTGCGTTTAATGTTGGAGAACTTAATATTTGTTGCATATGTCCAAAAACAGTATATCTAGTATAATATTTAATAGTTTAGTTTAGCAGTATTTAATAGTTTATATTAATATAGCTTCTCTAATTTTTTTCAGATTTTAAAAACATCATACTCCGCATTTAACGTACTGCAACAACAAAATATAAATAATATAACTTAGAACTTACTTGAGCATATTAATTATGTAGTTTTTCGCAAATTAATGACACTAAATTTCTGTTTATGTATATATTAACCTTAATATTCATTCTGGTTGTAGAAATGTTAATATGAATATAAAACATATATAAAACACATATATAGACACATATATAGACACAGTGTAATGACAAAAAATACTGTGTAATATATTTGATTTGATTTATAAGCAGCATTAATGTTGATTTCTGCACTAAAGTCAGAAAAAAATAATGTCTCAGTCTATACTTGTAATATGTTGCATATGAGATATGCGGATACATATTTTCCTGCACATTTGCCGTACTTTATAGATATATAGATAAGTAATTTGAAGAAT